TTGTTGTAATATTATGCATTTTTGTGTCAATAATTGTATTGGCAATGTGGCCTCTTTCTGCACACATACAAACCAACCCCTGCCACCATCTTCTGCTACAGCTCTACTGGTCTATGTCATAGACTTTCATGTGGGAGAGCAGGGTTCAAAACCCAGCTAATGCAACTTTAACAACAAATCTCTTCAAACTTCATATTGTTACACAATTACCTTAATTACAAACACCTGCTGACGTGACAGGCACAAGCTGGTATCAGAAACACATTTGAACTTGATCAAAGTTCATTCTGCAAGTCCAATGCTGCAGGCAAAGCCATGGTACACGGCAATGCACACTTGTTTTTACATCGTAAAAACCCATGTCTAGTTGTACATATTATTTTGTTTTTTGGTATGAATAAAGTTTGAAATAAAATAAAAAATTAAAGATATAAAAGCAGGTTGCAGAGCAGGTTCACGTCGTTGGCAGCTCCTTGATCTGTTTTTATTTTAAAAACTGTCTCGTTTGTTTCTGTTTGGACTTTCAGCTCCAGCTTCAAACTGGCTCTGGACTCTCTGCCTCAGCCGCCCAGCGGAGCCGACAAGAAGTGAGTCGTGTTTTTTTTWAATCTTATTTTACTTTTTTTTCATGTTTCCAGGAGTTACTATATTTTATTTCTCATGTTTTTTTCCCTCTCCAGGCTGCTGGAGGAGCTGCTGAACAAGTTTAAGAGCAGCATGCAGCTGCAGCTCGCCTGCTTCCAGCCCTCCACCGTCCAGCCTGTGAAGAGATGAAGCTTTGTTTYATTTCAGCTCCTGTTATCTGTTCAGTTATCGCTTCATTCGTTTCACTTTCTGTTTCACTACACGATCACAAGTATCTGCAGCTCATCTTGAAGACACCAGATGAGTGGATTTCATTGTTACTGTGCAGGACGGTCCCCGCTCTGCTGGCTGTTGGTGCAGCGGGACGTGGCGTCTGCTCTCTGACTGAATCAAGTTGCTGTAAATTGTTTTTGTTCAATAAACTGAGAAAAAAACCATCTGTAGCTTCAGTTTTTGTGATTTGATTTTTGAGCAACAAGAAGACTTTTGGTGAGATCAAAGCAGATCTTTTGTTAAAGCCTGAATATGAGACGTTTTAAACTCATATTTTAT